GCGGCTCATGTTCAAACAGCCTTTTCACATGACCCAGGATACATGCGCAGGGCAGCAATGGTCACAGTGGGCTGGGCCCTCCTTTATCAATCAACAGTCAAGACCATTCACTATAGACAAAGCCACAGGCCAATCTGAACTGGGCAGTTTCTCAACTGAGACTCTCTTTCCCCAGGGGACTCCTGATTCAAGAGGACAATAAAAACTAACAGGACAGGCCTATGCCGAAAGAAGCCTTTTATACTTCAACGGAGATTTAACCACATAAGAATAATATATCTGCACATCTGGAAGAATTATTTAGATGAATTCTTTTTCCAATGTACAAAATAAAAAGTTTTACACACACACTCACACACACACATACACATGTGTGCAATGTGTAAAATACACTCAGAATGAATGACTCTGATTTCTGACATGCATTATAGGTTATAAAAATGTCAGTGATTTGAAATTGAAAAATAGGAAGCATTAAGCAAAGTGGTCCAGAGGGGTTAAAAAAAAAAGAAAAGAATGAATTCTAGTTCTTTCTAAAGACACTGAATTAATTATGAGAAGATATTACTGTGTGGGAATTCTGGATGTTCACCACGATCGCTCCCGGGGTCCTGAATAGCCACTGCTCAGCTGGCTAGAAAGCCATAATTCATCAGCCAAGTCTTTCCCTTCACAGGTGCTCAACCCTCATCTTCTGTTTCCAAAGCGATACATCATAGTTCCGGGTTCCCCTTCCCCTCCCGGAATATTAATTGTGAGTCAGACATTTGTGCTCAAATCCCAGCTTCACCACCTCTCTCGGCGGCAGCAAACTTTTCTAGACCCATTTTTGAAATGAAGAGACTATCTCACACTGTTGCTACCACTCTTTCCAATCCCTTGGGTGTTCTAGCCACCATTCCCTTTAAGCCTACACGTGTCTCAGCTCAAACAAGGCCTTCTTGGAAAACTCCCGACAAGCCCTTCAGTTGCAAATGCCTTACTAATGTCCAACCACATTTTTTCCCTTTCCTTACTATTCACTTGGCAGTAGCTCAGGCACCATCTTGTGATCCCCTGTCCACTGCTGACTCAAATTAATTGAATTGTTTTTGTTTTTAAATTTAGGTAGGCCCCCTGAGGACACCGGCTGGATCTCATTTCTTTAAAAGAAAATTTTTTAAAAAAATAGCATTCTTTTTTTTTTCTTTCCTGGGAACTTACCCTGGGCCAGCCAAGAACTGTGGAGGCAAGAATTAAAGCACGGGTTCTTATTCTTTCTCTAGGGGCACTGCCTGGATGGAGATGACTTTGTACTTACCTCAGAGATTTAATGACAGTGGACAAAAAAGGAAATCAAGGAGAGACATCAAAAAGGACAGTGGGAAGCGTATGGGGACCCTGGTGGTGCCAAGCAGAAAGAACACAGGCTGTAAATGCAGCAATGCGTTCCAAGTTCACTGCTCTAGGGGTCCTGTGAGTATAGGACAGATCACTGATGGTCGACACTGAAAACAGTAGTTGATCCCTGTGCCTGGAGACTCACACTGCTGAGCTGGTGTGCCTGAACCTGGGATGGGCTAAACTGCCCTGGTGACCACGCTGTGCCTGGAGGGGTCCAGGACACCAGGAAAGGCAGCAAGATAAAGACAAAGACTACCATGGAGAAAGAGGATACCCTCCCGGGAGGTGGCAGCCCCCCTCCTGACCCTGGGTGCAGGCGGAGCCCTAGGGAGCTCTGGGGGCGGCGAAGAGGGTGCTTCCCCAGCCGCAGCACGCTGGACGGACAGAGACCACGAGGGTGCACTGCACCTGAGCCGTGCAGGAAGATCAGCGAGGCACTGTGTCTCCCGGCCGGCGACACCACACAGCGCTGCAGGCGAACCGCGCTGGGTGACACAGCCATGGCGGAACCCAGAAGTCAAGGTGCCTGGCCACGCCCCTCAACGTCGCGGGGCCGCGCACGCAGGCACGCAGCACTAGCATGGGGTCTGCACATGCGCTGAGGAAGGCAGTCTGCTCCTCCACCTGAGGTTGGGAGTTTGCAACCTTTGCATTCTGCTGAGAATTGCTTCTCTTAGAGTCAGGCTGCTCTATGTAATGATCGAGAATAGACCCCTGTCCCGAGAATTTGCTGCTGGTTTTAAACTGCAGTTCTAAAGCTCAGAATCACCCCATTTGGAGAATATTACTGCCTTCAAAATTTTACAGATATAATCATATTTTTTTATAACCATCCACTTTGAGGCTTACACCAGATGTTCATAGCTTTTTGCATACAGAGTGAGTCAGCTATATAGTAATTTATTTTTTGTGTGTATTTATTTTGTTTTTCTTTTTCTGATAGTTAACAGACAGATCTAATTTTAATGAGTGAGGACTTCACATTCTTTGGCATGGCTATTACCAAAAATGTGGGCAATGACTGGTGGGAATGAGTACAAGCTGGAGATTGTTATCCATGGCTGATGGAAGCAGGAAGTACTGTGAAAATAAGTGTGTGCGGAATTATATGACCCATAACTTCCGGATACACTGCCCCCACCCCTAAAGATAGGAAATGAGAAACTCAAGACAGAGGCTCCTACAACAATGTCCACAGTGGTAATCACAGTCTACAAAGGCTACAACAACTTCCACACCATCTCCACACGGATGGGTATACAGGATGTTTGGTATATGTGTACCAGTGAGCACCTGTTGGTCCTAACAAAGGTGGAATTCTGATTCATGTACAAAATAGATTGACTTCAGAAACAATATGTTTGTTAAATGGGCCAGGAAGAAAGAGACAAATGTTAACTGATTCCATCTGTTTTTCTTATCTAGAATGAACAAATTTATAAAGGCAGACAGGAAACGAATATTTACCTCACTAGGTTGGGCCAAATGGGGGTGAGGGGGTAATTAGTGCAGGACTTTTATTTGGGATATTGACTCCTTTCTGGAAATGGAAAGTTGGGATGGTTCACTCAAATTGTTGAGGTATTTGTTATTATGGAACAGTGTCTTTAAAATGGTTAAAATAGTAAAATAAGATTTGCTATTTTATTCTAATTATAATGATATGCAAAAATATGAAATTATTACTTGCATAAATACTAAGCACAGATAACTTTTAATAATAAGAGTTCAGCCCCAGCAAGTGGCTCTTTCTTCATGCAAAATTGAACAAAACAACCCCAGGGGGAGCTTATGTGACTAAACCACATGGCAATATACACCATATTTAAGTAATTACAAATTGCATCTTATTGTTTTTAAAGTATTTGCCCTGCTCCTGAATGACAACTTTGCTTAGTAACACTTTCTCGTTGCTAGGATACATTTGAAGCTATCACAGTTTTGTACCTATGCTATTAGTGGGAATGACACTCCATGCCATTATTGCCATTAACTAGCTAGAGTAAAAAGAGCCCGACTCCATTCTCTGTATCCCATAGAGAGTAATGAGAGTGAAGTCTTTGAGGAGTTCGGGGCAGGGCCGGCTCTGCTCTGACAGACTTCCTAACACTGCTCTCTAGACCTCCCTCCTCTAGGTACTTCTGGAGAGCACTTGGGAGCCCTGCAAAAGCAGAGCAGTGGGCTCCACCTAGAACTGCATTCACTCCTGCGGAGCCTCACTGTGATCCACCTTAAAACAGTGAGACAAATCATCAAGAGCAGGATGATTTAGTAGTTGTTGCTAATATAATATTTATTCTTGCTAATAAGCAGCCTATATACATAGTACTTACAAGGTGCCGAACCCTGACATAAATAAATACCCGTAACTGAACTCTGGCTACCTATGCTTGGCAGCTACCTCACTGGATAAGGAACTCGTCTCAGTACAATCCAGCCAGGCTGTGGGAGAGCCTGGACTCACGTGTATGTCACTCCAGGGCCCAGGTTCTTAATTGTACCCACAGTCAAACTCTGAGCTACAAAATATAAGGTCGGTACATACAATAACGGTCCTAGTTAGTTTTTATTGTCAGTTTAACACAAGCTACAGTCTCCTGGGAAGAGGGACACTCTGCCAAGGAGTTGCTTAGACACAGTGGGCCTGTGAGCATGTCTGTGGGAGTTGGTCTTGATTGCTAATTGATTAGGAGGATGCAGCACACAGTGGGAGGCACCATTCCCTTGGAAGGTGACTCTGGGCTATGTAAGAAAGCTGGCTAAGCATGAGCCCTGAAGCAAGCCTGCTAACAGCATGCCTGCAGGGCTTCTTCCTGCTTCCATTCCTGCCCTGACTTCCTTGAGGATGGGCTGGTACCTGGAAAGGGGGTTGGATCAAACCCTTACTTCTCCAATTTGCTTTTGGTCATTGTCACGGCAGCAGATACCAAGCAAGAACACTAGTATGTTCTTGCTATGATTTTTTTTTAAAGCATTTCTTTAGCTTTCCTCAGATGCCTTGGCACAATATCCTTCTCTCTTTCTCCAAATGAATGACTATCAGTCACAACAGATAGGCGGTGGGGAATGGATTCTTATATGCAGGCTAGGAGTTGGCCTTTCACCTAGAACTCAACCCTTTCTGGATTCACAATCACAGTGCTCTTCCGTTTTTCCATGATTTGAAGAGGAAGATATTGTCGCTGTCCTTTTCATCTTTAGTTATGGAACAAACAGAGGGATTTATATTCCTATATTTAGAGATGCCATCTGGTAAGCACACTATAGATGCTTTGTTTCTTTCATGTTGGGTCATACTTTGAAATGTAATTAGGCTTCAGACTGGGTGGCTGCCTCATTTATGATGGATCTTTTGCTCTATGGAATCGGGGATGGGGATATTCCTGGAGGGCCTTTATTCCTACATTCTTTCACCCTTTCCATACCTTCTTCTTTCCTTGTTACTGCTTGTATGCTTTTAGTCAGTCTGCCCATCTATCCTGGTACATCCCTTATGATAACATCAGTTCGAAATCAAAAACCTAGCATAGAGAACCAAGCAAAAGCCAAGAAAAGGAATCAGAAAAAAAAATCTTATACTTTTCAAAATTTTCATGTTTATTGGGTTAAAAATATACAAGGTCAAGATTGGCATAATGACACCCACCTTTAATCCCAGGACTTGAAAGGCAAATGTAGGCAGATCTCTGAGTTTCAGTACAGCCAGAGCTACATAGAGATACCCTGTTCAAAAAAAAAAAAAAAAAAAGATGCAGGGTCAGAGCTTAGTTTCTTATGCTGTGTTTAGGAATTCTTTCTGGTGTTATGTTATCTTTAGAGCACATGTGAGGGGCCGCCCCTTGAAGCACAGTGCCTGTTGTTGCACATGGTCACACACATGTCAGCACATGGTCACAGTTTCATGAAGTCATGCCAGCTGTCCTTTGTCTCATGTATGAGTATGAATTTGTCTTCTCCATTGGTTGGATTTTCAATTAATTATTCATTTTACTTATGGTTGTTGTGTGCCTGTATGTGAATATCATGTGAGTGTGCATGCCACAGCACACACCTGGAGGTCCAATATACTACAGCACACATGTGGAGGTCCGACATGCCACAGCACACATGTGGAGGTCCAACATGCCACAGCAAACATGTGGAGGTTCAAGAACAACTTTATGGAATGTGGTCTCTCCTACCACTTCTAAGTGAGTCGCAAGAATTGAAGTCAGGTCACCAGGCTGGCACAGTCAGTGACTTAACCAGCTCAGCCATATTGCTGACATGGTTATTTTTTTATCTACTACTTATTTTGTGAAAACATAAACATACATAATTAATACACACTTCATGGTCAGTCTCAGACTGGGGTGACTTAATATATTTTACAAACTGATAACAGTAAATTCCCTTATCCATTTATAAAAGAAACTAGGAGACTCAAAGGTCCGGAATTCTTGTCAAACACTGAAACATTTTTTAAATGAAGCTAAAATGTTCATGTAACTCTCCCCTTCATTCTAGGGGTTTTGAGCATTTTGATTCTGACCTTCTAGATACAATTGTGTGGCATTCCTTTCTTTACCACCATAGCACTCACTGGATGCGCAAGGTTTTTTGTGAGTCACCTGGGGCATGGTAATGGGAATTATGACAGAGGAGTTACACAAGCAAAGCCATGGAGTGGGGGCAGTAGTGGGAGTTCCATTGTTAGTACCCCTGGCACAGACAGTGCATAACCTCAGCACCCAAGTCTTTTTTTGTTTGTTTTGTTTTTCGAGACAGGATTTCTCTGTGTAACAGCCCTGGGTCTTCTGGAACTATCTCTAGTAGACCAGGCTGGTCTTGAACTCACTGAGATCCGCCTACCTCTGCCTCCCAAGTGCGTGTGCCACACCACCCAGTTGGCACCCAAGTCTTAATCTTCACATTACCTCATGCCTCTTCTCTTCCTTAGGAAAGAGTGTCTCCCATTTGATCACTCCCTATGACTGTTTCTCAGATTCCCAATTTATTCCTGGAAGTATTCTTGTTCTGCTTTCTCCAAGTCTGCCTGGAACTCTCAGAAACCCCTCCATTCGTCTTATTAGCCCAGGCATTCTAGTATCATTATCTCACTTTCCGATTATAGCTCTCGGTGGACATCAAATCCAAAGGAAGACTCAACAGTAGCTACTGAATGGGCCCTGTTTTCTTGAGGGAAGGAGGTGGCTAGTCCTTTAAATCCCTGAGGTGAGGGGAAGTCATGGCATCCCAGAAATCCTATATAAGAAAAGAAAGAGAAAATTCAATGTCAGTACAGTTCAGACTTTTACACTCAGCCCCATTGTTTATTAGAGTTGTGTAAATACATGGATATTGAAATGCTCTAATGGGAATAAGGGTTTCTAGTCCCTGGAGGGATGGCAGCGGTGTGACACCAGAGAGACCCCGGTGACTTACTGCTCACATTCTCCAGCTGCACGGTAAGGGAACCTGCTTTGGCAACCCCACCAATTCACGGATTTTCAGACTGTGCAACACTCATATATTCCGCTCTCTCCTCTATTGCCATGGGATGTCTAAAAGTTTAAAAGAACATAGGATGGATGGCTGATCTGAAAGCAATCTTTGCCATTTATTTTATTCCAACGTTGACTATTTTCAGGGGTGGTGGTGGTAGTGGTAGTGGCAGTGATGGTGGTGTGTGTGTGAACCATCGACCCCTGAACAATAGACTATGTGAGGATATGACAGTGGATTTCCTGGCATTATAGCTGTATCTTCAGACAATAAAGAAGCTTTGGAAGTTATTATTGATTCTTACTGTGAGAGCAAATCGATACCGTTCCTCTTTCAGACTGTGTCTTCAAATAATTTGTTTTCTTGTGAAATGGTGTAAGGTCAATCTTTAAAAGCAGATAGATGTTCTTGGGCTAGTGAGATGGCTAAGTATGTAGAAATACTTGCTGTCAAGTCTGCTGACATGTTTGATCCCTGGAACCCAAATGTGGGCTTGGGAGAATGGACTGCCACACATCCTTTAAACCCTACATATAACTCTTGGTACACCCATGCCCACTCATACAAATTACTTAATTAGTGTAATAAAATATATGTTTAAAACAGAGCAAGTTTTCTTTGTGGAGGTTGAAAATGAGGGTCTTGGAGAGCTGTGTATACATCCATATTTACATATATTGAAAACCAAAGGGAGGAAAGAAACTAAAAGTCTACAAAGATAACAATAGGATGTTATCCAGCCTTTACAAACCAGGCATGCCACATGCTCTCATGTGCACAGATCTATAAATTCACTAGAAGACAGTTTATACTGTATGACTCCTTCTCATAGGTATCAGAATTAATAAAATTCACAAGACACATGAGAGTCTCACAAGTCCAAGTGTAGAATCAAGAGACTATAAAGTCATTTTTATAATTTTCATGGGAAATTCCTCCTTTGAGAAAATACAAATGTTTTATCTCCAAAGTCTAAATTTACAAGATTAACTAGTTATGGTATAATGTGAATTTTATCCATGTATTTCCCTGACTTTCCTACACACAAATAGGAATTTTTCATCTTGCCAATGCCAGAGTCTAATTTGTATAAAAGTCTGTGAAGAATTACATCTTTAAGGTAGGCCTTTGCAAGGCCCCTGCTGCCAGGCACGGATGACAACTTTCCAAATGTTCTTCTGGAACAGGGTGCTGCTGATCTTCCTGGTTGTGTTTGCAGCCCTGTCTCCTTCCCTCTTGCTGCTTTGATCAGCAGTGAACTAGGCATGGTGCTCTGTCTCCTGCCAGCTGCCTCATCTCACCTGGCCAGCTAACCATTCCAGCTTCTTTTGGAGACAGGATCTTACTAGGCTGTCCTGGCTGTTTTGAAACTTGCTATGTAAACCAGGCTGGCCTTGAAACCGCAGAGATCTGCTTGCCTTTGCTTCCCCTGTGCTGGGATTAAGGATGTGTACCGCCATCTGCATCCTTGGTTATTTCCTTTATGGTCTACCTTCTGTACCCACGTCGGTCCTCTTTTGTTTGTTGACCAACATGGCCAGTGCAGTCACAGGTAAGCATTATGGAATGTGTAATACACAAATGGTTATTAGAACCTCTGATTCAAACAGCTACTTCAAATTAAAAGTAAAAGAAATAAGAAATACACCATTCAATAATTTTATTTAAAAAGGAAATCTGAACATTCTCCCCTTGGGACCTAAAGTAACAATTGTTACATAAATGTTTCAGTTAGTACCAGTTATGACTTTGAAAAACTATCAACATTCTCCCCTCCCTGCCCCTCCTCTTCTCACCTCCGCCCTGTCTTGTCCTCCCTTTCTTTCCGTTTTTCTTCTCTCTCCCTCCTCTTCTCTCTTCCTACCCCCTCCACCCTCTCCTCTCCCTTCCCTTCCCCTCCCTTCCCTTCTCTTCTCCCTTCTCCCTTTCCCTCTCCTCTCTTCCCCTCCCCTTCTCTTCCTCCCTCCTCCTCCTCCTCCTTCTTCTCTTTCTCCTCCTCCTAATTCTCCCCCTCCTTCCCCATCTTGACTACTCTTTTATCTCCTACCCCCTTTCCTCCTTCCCCTCCCCTCTTTCTTCTTGGGGGGGGGGGTGCGTGACAAGGTCTCACTTCATATCCCAGGATTACCCTGATCTTTTTTTTTGCTCTCACAACTTGTTTATTCTTACTAGGACTGAAGTCCAAATGTGTGTGCATGTTTAATGCTTTCCTGAGAAGACAGTGGGTTAATGCTAATAAAAACATTGTTACATGTCTTCCTGGACTGCTCTAAACTTCCCTATCTTAACAATGCAATGTCAAGAAGGTCATTTTAAAAAGCACCTTCATTTTCATGAGCATACATTATTTAGTGATCTTTTAAACTTTTATTCTTCTCTCATACATTACATCCCAGCCACAATTTCCCGTCCCTCCACTCCTCTCAGTCACTCCCCCCGCCCCGCCTATAGTTTACCCCAAGTCAACTCCTCCTCTGTTCCCTCCAAAACAAACAAGAAAAAAAAAACCAGGCCTCCCAGGCATATCTACCAAACATGGTCTAATAAGAAACAATAAGTCTGGGCACAAACCCTGGTATCACAGCTGGAGGTGGCAACCCTGTAGGAAGAAAGGGTCCCAAGTGTAGGCAAAAGAATCAAACAGCCCCACTCCCATTGTTAGGAGTTCCACAAGAACACCAACCTACACAACTAGGTTTCTTAATAGCAAGTATGAACTGCATCCATGTTTAATTTTAGCTGAAAGTAATTTCAGTGCGTTTTTATTATGTTATATAAAAAGCGCCCAAAGGACTGTCCTTCAGTTGGCAGAGACAATAAGAATTTAACTTCCTGACTAGATCATAGGCACAGATATCTTGAAATACAAAATACATAAACCATTAAAGGATAAATTATGATTATTTTTTACTGATTTATTCAATTCTTCTTTATAAATACAAAATGCACACTGCATAGATTTAAAGCTTGCCTTTCCCCCGTAGGAACGTATCTTACCCACACAGGTGTTTTACATCACACAGGTGGACCTGATCAGCAGAATGGACTTTCCATGGATATTGAAATAATCATACATGCTGAGAATAATCTTGCTGTGCTTGTTGGAGGCTGGTTCTGCTGACTGTATGGCTAACATCTGGAGGTCACATGAGGCAATAACTACCTGCAGTTTGCTGCTTTTCAGAGTAGATACACTATTCAGCAAGGAAAGGGTAAATTCCCTGTCTCCAGCACTCACAGACTTTGAATCTCATCACTGCCTTTAAGTCATTCATTAAGCCACTGAAAAGATTAAAGGTCAATAAATGTGTTCTTTGGCCTCAGAAAAGCCCAGAAAACACAGAACTGTTCAGCAACGAGATCTCAGTGCAGGATTTTCAGGTTGGCCCTGGAAGCAAACACAGACATGATTTTTATTCCTGCAGTTGGTGTAATAAAGCACATTTATGTCTCCTAGAATGTCATTTGGGAGACTTGTTCATCTCTGAATATAGAAAAAGACAGCCATAGAGTGGTAGAAAAAGCCCAGCTCTTCTCTGTCTCAATAAACAGTTACTGTCTCGATTGTGTTCTGCATATCTCTCTGGCATCTCTGATAGCATCAGTCAAAGATGTTCCCTGTGGATTTATTTAATGCAGAGTTTGCAAATGATGGTATGTTTTCATTCTGTTTCTATGATCATCTATATAGATCTGTGGCATTTCAAAGATGACTGTGAGTGAAAGAAAGACTGTTATGGAAAAGACCTGGCTGTTTACAGTCCTAATAAAACAGGAGGCAGGGGATGCTTGACACAAATACTGTAGAAACCAATATGGAACACTTCAAAGACAGAAACAGAACTGCGGGAGCCAGCCAGATTGCTCAGTGGGTGAATCTTCATTCCACAGAGGCTAGTGGCCCGAGTTCAATCCCCAAATCTTCAGGGTGGCAAGAGAGACCTGATACCTGCCAGTTGCACTCTGACGTCCAAACCCAAGTCATGGCATGTATGCCACAAATGTACATACGTGCACGAGTATACACACAAAATAATAACAATAAGCTAAAAAATAAAGAACCACTACATATACGTACATGCATGAGCATATACACACAATAAATACACATAAAATAAAAAATTAAAAAACCACTATGTGATCAAATTGAACAACTTTTGAGTATATATATCTAGAGAAAAGAAGTTTGCACAAAAAGAAACACTTGTATTCCCATGGTTGCCACACCAACCAAACTGTGGCACCAGGATAGGTGCCCATGACTGAATGTGAAATAAAATGAATCCAGAGAGACAGGTATCATATGTTTTGCCTTAATATGAAACCCGGGGAAAAAGACATGAACATTGAAGGAGGCTTTTAGAGAAGAAGGGGGAACTAGGGACATGGGCAAGGAAGGTAAGAGGGAACTAGAAGGATGCGAACTGTATTTTATGCATGGTTGAGAACAACCTGATGAAACCTAGTGTTTTGTACATTTGCTACATATTGATTTATTTAAATCAGAGGAAAAGTTTTTCTTCTTTTAAATTTGATCTTTATTGAGGACAAATAGGTGGCTCTCTAAGGTCAAAGATAAACCGATCATGGCAATTTAAAAAAAATAATCTGAAGACAGGACTGTATTCTGTCTCTGGCCTTTGTCTCTGAGGCCACTCTTGGTTTTAAGTTCTGTCTATTTGTCCTCTGCATGACTAAATAAATTCTCTACTCACAGATGTCCCCACACCCCCCATTGTGACATTGCCATTGTTTGAGGTAGGGGCTACTGTTTGCCTCAGATTGCTTTCTGTTCCTGCTATTTGCAGGTGAATTATATAAGCTCTCTAGAGTTCACTGGAATTGTATAGTTCTGAATGTCACCTGGTCTCACACAGATGGAAATCATGATTATAGTACTTCTTCAAAATAGGCACTTATATGTCATAACCAGAAATTTAAAACTGCCCCATTTTTGCCATCTTCTGAATTTGGATAGCCCGAGTGTCAAAAATACTGACTCACTAACTATTCCGCCTAGCAAGAAGTTGGGATTCAGTGCTCCTGTCCTAGAGATGATGTGGAGGCCTGGTGAGGTGGCCTCTTCCTGGTGTCTCTTAATCGCTCTTTATCTCTACTGTGTAACTAACCTAGGTATCATTTCCTAGAGATCGCTCACACTCAAGTTTGTCATGCTGTTAGTCGAATAGGTTCTTCTATGGTAAGCTGTAATTGACAAATATGCACTCAAAGGATTTCTTTTATAATTTATTTATTTTTAATTTACTAGTGCTTTGCCTGTATGGATGTCTGTGCAAGGAGGCTGGATCCTGGAGTTATAGGCAGTTGTGAGCTGCTATGCGGGTGTAGGGAATTGAGCCCAGGTCCTCTGGAAGAGCAGTCAGTGCTCTTAACCACTAAGCTATCTCTCCAGATGCAGGACTTCTTTTTTAAAAATCTCCTTTAGAATGAAAGGAAACCTAAGGGAGGGTCACTATCCACTGGGGACCACGAGGAAATGCCCATGTGCCTGGCTCCACACACCCACGTGCTTGTGGGCAGCATAATTACACTCAGAGAGGATGGGAAGCTGTGAGGATCTGAGGTTAGTCACACTAGGAGGAGATGGAGGAGGCTAATGGTGGATTGATGTGATTGGAATATATTGCCTAAATGTATGAAATAAGAAATGATGGATAAACTACTATAAAAAGGAAAAGAAAAAGAAGAAACTGATTGGTGAGAAAAGGTACCATTTAAATGATCTGCTTAATAGTTGGAACCTACAACAAACAGAGAAAAGTTTACTTTTAAGATTTCCCAGACACTTTGTACAACACAAGAAATGTGGTAGTGATGAGAGTAGATGTGGTCACTTTGCAGAGGTTCCTTGATGTAATTTGGCATCTTCAAAGCCGAACTAGAATGTCTGTGTTTCTGCCCGGTGTGGACTGGGAATCTGCACATGATTTGAACTATCCAAATGACCTCCTCCCAAATGCCGACCATACCTGTGCCTTTCTGCTTTCACCACACATCTCTGTAATAAGTGTTGTTATAGTACAATGAGTATTTGGTATTACATTATGTTGAAGAGGGAAGTTTCTGTCCCACAGCCAGTCAGTCCCAAATAAACACAAAGAGGCTTATATTAATTATAAACTGTTTGGCCTATTGCTCAAACTTATTACTAACTAGATATTATAACTTAAATTAATCCATAATTTTTATCTATGTTTAGTCACATGGCTTGGTACCTTTTCTCAGTAAGGTATTCTCATCTTACTTCCTCTATATTTGACTGGGAACTGCATCTCTGTTTTTCCTCTTCCCGGAATTCTTCTAGTCTGGTCGCCCCACCTATACTTCCTGCCTGGCTACTGGCCAATCAGTGTTTTATTAAATTAATACATGTGACAGATATTTACAGGTACAAGAGAATTAATTGTCCCACAACATTACGTGAATCCATTGAGAACTTTCTTCAATCAATTTCAATAGAATATCCCCTATTCCAAAGCAGTGTTAAGTACTGTTGGTGAGGGACAGTTAGGCTCTTGTCCTTACAGAGTTTATACTCAACGGGGGTGGGGGGGAGTGGTAAGAAAAACAGCATGGTGTAATGATAAATACTAAAGGAGGGGACAGGGCAAGTTTTCAAGTTTTGGTGGAAAACATTAAGTTTATAGTCACATAAAATCAGAGAAGCCTCCAACACAATAAACACAGTCCTATGAAATGAGAAAGAAGAAAGAAATTCTCAGACAATGGAGTCTAAGAGAACAGGGCTAGCCACATCCTCTCCTCCCACTGAAGGGCAGCATTTCTCTATGGCAAATTGATGTGCTTAGTGATACTCTCTGTTGCCTCTCTTTGCTTCTTTTCCATATTCTAGCTCCATCTCATTTTGTCTCAAGCCCAAGAATAACACAATTCCCTCTCTGATTAATTGGCCAGATCTTGGTATGATAATGTGATGATTCTCTTGGACTTTTGAGGCATATGTGGCTGACAAATTGTAAACTTGTAGTAGATGTGGGATTACTGGATGTTGAACGGTTGACTTGTAAACAGTTGAATGTGTAAAGGAGAGGGTGACCATCAGCTAGAAAGCCACTGGCTGAGGCAAACAGCAGGTCCTGACTGCACTGCTTCAAGTCACTTAAGGAGCAGCCTAACGTAGTTCTTCAAATGCTGAGAAGCTGAACATGATGCTCCTTTGAAGTCCCAAGTCCTACACTTGGGTGCTAATATTTAGATAATCAGAAAATGTTCAGTCACCTTATGGAAGGTACAGATGTGTTTCTCCACTGGATAAATAGACCATTGTGCAGTGTTCCCAAAAGCTTTCCTAGAAATGATGCCAACGAGGTTCAAAAACAGCCAAAAAGTGATTCAAATTTATAAGGGCAAGGCACATCTGATTATTGTTCACAAAATGAAACGTCCCAAACCATAATTCTGTGTGCCTCAGTGGTCTCCTAGTCTCCTCCTTGCAAGGTTACATCTTGCTGTTTGTCTGTAAGAACTGGGTAGGGATAAAAGGATCCCTTCTTCCAGTTTCTGTGATGCTGGGGGGAGGGTGCGTTTTCAGTTTTCAACACTGTTTAGTTCAGCTCCCAGCTGTGCAGCACCACACCCTGCTGGGAGATGGAGAGGGAGCGAGGGGACAAGTCTATATTGGCTTAAATTTATAGCTTTTCTTTGGGAAGGATTTTTTCTTTTTCTAAATTACATTGTGATGTTGTGACTTTGTGTACTAGCCTTTATAACATGGAGCGATAACTCAAGGGAGTGATCAGTGGAGTATGGTGTTTGGCTCCTTTAAAGAAATATTAGCGGCTAAGTGATGAGAGGAAAACGAAAGCCAGAAGCGAATTAGCTAACTATTTAATGAGAGCATTTACTGATCCCAGTTCCTGGAACATATACCTATGAGGACCTTGCCTAAAAAATATGTTCAGAGTTGTAAGCCAACAGATAAAAAATAGTTCAATAGACTTTAACTCTGCTTAACTTTTAACACACTTATCCCTGAAAGAGCTTCAAAACTCCATGACAGTTTTCAAACGTGAAGAGTGTGTTCAGAAGGACAAAACTAGGTTGATGTCACAGAGGTCGGTCATATCCAGAAAGAAAGTGGCTCAGCAGTTACTGTAGTGTAGGACCTTTCAATACCTGCTGGCCAGTTACCAATTTTAAGGTTAAAAACTTGGTCTTCAGCTTCTTTTCTGTTCTCCTGTT